TTTGCCGTGCACAGAGCGTCCGTGGTCAACGCGTGCGTGTCGTGAGTCTTCGTGCGGAGCTCCGCATCACTGCGCCACGTGCTACGTGCTGCGTCCCGAGGCAGCTGCGGTCCGTGCATATCCTCTCGTCGCGCAGGCGAGCGCCGCCCCCCGCCGCCGCCGGCCTCGGGGGCGGGGCCGCGGCGCGCGCCGCGCGCGGAGGCCCCGCCCGCCGCTCGCCGCCGTCGCTTGCCGGCCGCCTCCCCGCCGTCGGCGACGAGAGCGCCGAGGGGCGGTCGGCCTCGTCGGCTCCGAGGAGAAGGAGGAGGAGGAGGAGGAGGAGGAGGAAGGAGAAGGAGGAGGAGGAGGAAGAAGAGGAGGCGGAGGGGGAGGCGGAGGAGGAGGCGGAGGGGGAGGAGGAGGAGGAGGAGGAGGAGGAGGAGGCCGCCCTTTCGCTGCCCCCGTCGGCCTTGTCGGCTACCGCCGCCCGGGGCGCGCCCGCGGCGCGGGGAGGCGGCCCGCGGTGGGCCAGCCGGCGGGCCCCAAGAGGGCCCCGCACTGTCAAGCAGTGGCGAAGCGTCCTGGCTTGCCTGTTGCCCTACCAAACACTGTTCTGAGAACTTTGTGTGTGGTTTCCACGAAGTGCTCTTGGAACATTTCTGGTTGGGACCGTCGTGTTTTAACGCATCGGGTTTATGTTCTAAGAACACTGTTTTGGTTCTGAGAACATGTCTGGGTTCTAAGAACATTCCGTGGTATGAGTTTAGGAATGCCGGGACGGTCGGTCCCTGCTCAAACTCGTCCGCTCCGTGGTGCCACCTTCCAGGGTCGGCGGAGCTGACCGGCAGGCCTTCGCAGCACTGTCCCCCAAGAGGGCTCCCAGACGGGCCCCAGAGGTCCGTAGACGTTCTCAGCACGGTGGGCTCATGCGGCGATGGCGCGCTGGCGACGACAGCGCAGGCGCGTTCAAGCTTGAAGTTTGCGACGCGGAAGCACCGAGGGACACGGTGACGCCATTGGTTCGACGGAATTCAACCTTGAACGATCGGGGCCGCGATCGATTCAAGGTTGAACGATGGACGCGGTATCAAAAACCTGTGCGCGTGCCGACGCCGCACGAACCTACCGTACTTTGAAATCGGGCCGGACGAAAGGGGGGATTGAGAAAGGGGGGGGTACGAAATCTGCTGCATGCAGCTGGTTTCGGCCCCACCGAGGGGCCCATGCCTCGATACATGGGCGCCTCCCGCCGCCTGGAGGCGCTGGGAAGATCAGCTGCGTGAGCTGACTCTCAACCTTCCCCTTTGCCATCCCCCCCTTTTGCCCGGCCCGGTGGAAGTTTGCCGCAAGCCGTGGCGCCGGAGGCACGGGGGCGCCCCTCCGAGAGAGAGCCGGCGGCGAGCGAGAGAGGGGGGGCCAAGCGAGACGGGGCGGGCCCTCTCGGAGGGCTCGGGAGCTCCCCCCCGGGCCTCCGGGACGTCTCCTGTGAGACTTCGCCGGGGACACGGGGAAGGCCTCTCGGAGGGCGCGGGGGCTTCGAGGAGCCCCGCCGCTTTCCGTGATCCGCACGAACGAAGCGGGCACGGCAAGAAAGGTTACAGTGCCCAACAGCGGATCCGGTGCATTTTGAGCAGGACTCGCTGTCCACGCCGCCGCGGCCCGCGTCCATGCGAGAGGAGGCCGCCTGCCCAACAGCGGCCGCTGTTGGTCTGGGACAGCATTTGCTGTTGGGCATTGTGCCCGTTTTTGCCGTACCCATTTCGTGCGTCCAAGCGTGAGGGCCTTCTCCTTCTCGTGTTCCCCCCCCGCGCTCGCCGCCGAGGTCGGGGGTGGGCCCCTGGGAGAACCGCCCCGCCCAGCCGGGTGCGGTCGGGCCTGCACCTCCGAGAGGCGGCGTGCTCTTTTTTTCCTTCCCTCCGCGGCGCCTTCGGCCCCCCTCGCGGGCTGGCGAAGCGTCCTCCTCGTTGTCGTCCTCCTCGTCGGCGTCCTCGTCGCGACCGGAAGTGCAGAGACCGCGCAGGACGGCGTCCTTCTTCGCTTCATTTCGGCCCCCCTGGGGCCGGCGAAGCGCCCTGCCTTGCCGATCGAAGACGCCTACGTTTCGGATCTAGCCAGGACCCCTGGTAAGTCGAATAACAAACAATCGCCTCAAAACAAGCTTTTGGCGCTTCGCGCGGATTTCTTGGATCTGCGCTGGGCGCCCTATGGGCCTCCTGGGAGCTTCCTGGGGCCCATTGGAGGCCTCATGGGGTGCTTTCTTGGGGCTCTTCGGGGCCTTGGGAGGTTCCTTGAGATGCCTTTTGGCGGTCTGAGGGCCTTCCTGGCCCGTCTGATGCCGTCGGACGCCGTCTTGGGAGTCTTCCTAGGCCGACTTGGGGCCCTCTTGAAGCGCTTCAGGGCCGTCTTGAAGGCCATCTCGGGCGTCATGGAATTGTCCTGGGCCCCCGTGGGGCCGTCTTGGGGGCCTCTTGGTCCGTCAGTGGGCCATCTCGGAGGCCTGTTGGGTGCTCTCGAGGCCATCTTGGTGGCCTCTGCAGCAGTGTTGGTTTGTCGCAAAGCCGAAGATGAGCAAACGCCAGAATCCTTCAAACACCTAAGAAACATTCATGATTTCGGCCTCGTCGGCTTCGTCGGCCTAGAAGATTTCTTGGAGGCTTTTTGTGGGCCTCTTGGACCGTCCTTGACCATCCCGAGGCCATCTCGGTCCGTTTTGGCCGCATTTTGGGCCGTCCTGAAGGCATATTGCGGCTATGTTGGGCCCTCTTGGGGGCATATTGGTAGTATTGGATCCCATCTTGAGCGCTTTCGGGGCCTTCTTCTTCCGTCTGTGGTCCCCCTTGGGGCCCTTTTTTGCGGGCCTCTTGGGCCGTCCAGGGGCCATCGTGAAGGCCGCTTGGGTGATCTTGGGGGCGATACTGGGAACCCTTGGTGCAGTCTTTGGCAGTCGGGAGACTGAAAATGAGCAGACGCCCGAACCTTGACTCAACAACCCAAGGACAGTCAATGATCGTGGCTTCTTCGGGCCTTCCTGGAGGACCTCTTGGAGGCCTATTGGTCTGTCTTGGGGGCCGTCTTGGGCCATCTGGAGGCTAACTTGGGCCGTCGTGGCTGCATCATGGGCCGTCTTGGAAACATGTTGCGTCCATCTTGGTCTCTCTTGGGGCCATCTTGGCCGTCTTGGGGCCAGCTTGAGCGTCCTGGGAGCCATCTGCAACTGTTTTGGGCCGTGTTAAGGGCCTCTGGGGTCGTCATGGTGCTATATCGAAGACCTCTTGGGCGCTCGTGGAGCGATTTTGGAGGCCTCTTGGGCCGTCGGAAGGCCGAACAAGACAAATACCAACGTTCGTAAAACCAAAAGAGCTGCGGATATTCAATGGGTTTGGCCTCTTCGGGACTTCCTGAAGCACCTGTTCGAGGCCTCTTGGGCTCCTCTTGAGCTTCTGGAGGCGTCCTGGGCCATCTTGAGGCCATGCCGGGCCTTCTTGTGTTCATCTTGGGCCCTCGAGTGCTCCCCGAAGGCCATCGAGTGCTCCCTGAAGGCCATCTTTGCCGTCTTGAAGACATCTTCGGACAGTCTCTGAGAGTTTGGCGTCCGGGCTCTTTCGGTATTCCATCTGGCGGGCTCAGGACAGGACTGCAAGGGACCCGAGGGCCCTCCCCCTCGTGCCTCGCGGCGCGGTGGCGGATCTCCCCGCAAAGACATGTGCTGATGAGCCTCTCGTGGCTTGGACCATTCCTGGCTGAGGCAGTCTTGTTCGAAAGCCGTTGGTGGTGCATGATAAGAACATTCCCGTGCACTTGCAGCGCTCTTTGGTTGTAGCTGGCCGATGCGGAACACTGGGACGGTCGGCCCCTGCTCCACGTGCTTGGGCTTCGGGGGCTGCGGAGCGCGGAGCTGGGCAGCAGCGCTTCCCTTGGGGAAGGGGGTCTGTAGGCGTGGGGCGGTGGATTGAAGGGAGGACGTCGGGGAGATGTGTCCCTGGCCCAGGGGTTCTCCAGTATGAAGCTGGCCTTCGGCCCATGCCACCACAGTGCCTGGGTCGTGGGTCGGAGTATTCATTGATGCTTCTTGGGGTCTCTTCGGAGTGATCTTGGGGGCGTCTGCCTGGGCAGTTTTGCGGCCTCTGTGGGGGCCTCCTGGTGGCCTCTGGGGGGCCTCTTCGGGGCCTTTTTGGACCTCCTGGGGGCCCCTCGGGGCCGAGAGCTCGACATGTCCACTCGGAGCCGTCTTTGGGGCCTCATGGGGCGGCCTTGGGCGCCTCTTGCGCCCGTTTTGGGGCCCTCTTGGAGGCCTCTTGGGCCCTCTTGGGGCGATCGTGGGGGCTCTAGGGCCGTCTGGGAGCGTCGGGGAGCCGAAAAGGTGAGAACGCCACAAACGTTCAAACACTAACACAACCACGAACAGAAATTTATGATTTTGGCAACTTGGGGCCCTCTTGGACCTTCTTGGAGGCCTCTTGGAGGCCTCCAAAAGGCCTTTTGGAGGCCTCTTGGGGTGTCTTGGATGCCTTTTGGACCTTCTGAGGGCCATCTTGAGCGTCTTGTAGCCGCCGTTCAGCGACCTGGGGCCCTCTCGGACTGTGTCGAGGGCCCTCTTGTCGAGGGCCCTCCTGGCCCGTCTCGGGGCGTGCTCTCGGGCCCGAAACGGTCACGCGACGAGCTCGAGGGCTCGCGAAGGCCCGGGAGGTCTGTGCGTCTGGGCTCCGGGCCCCCTTGGAAAGCCTCCCCCAGGGAGTGCTCCGGGCACCCGGCAGAGGGCCTGAGGACGCGCCCGCTCGGTGCGCAGCGGCACGGTGGCGGACCTCGAGGGATCCAGGAGGGGAAACAACACACACAGAGAGACATAATCCATCGTCGACTCCCAGGAAAACATGAGAAACAATGGGAAGTGGGGGGAGGGCAGAAGCCGTTGAAAATGCAGGAACATGTGGGGAATCCTGTCACTTGTGTCTATCTATCTGTGTTTCCCAGGGCCCCTCCAAGGGAGGCGCACGCGACGTCCAGAGCACCCCTCCCCGCAGGACCCGCCCATGCGCTCCCTCGAGGCCACCGCCGCGGAGGGCGCCTACATAGACGACGAGGACCGCCCCGCCGCCGGTCGCCGTCGTCGCCTTCGGCCGCCCTTTGCGCGCCCGCGGATCGCCGACGGGGGCCCGGCGGCCCCACTACGCCCAGGAGGGTGCGGCTTCATTGCCGGGGGCCCACAGCCAAGACGCTGAGACAAGGACCGCTTTGGGTTCGGAAGGGGCTCGGGGGTTTGGGTCGTGCCTCAGATCTCCGTCGCGGGATCTGTTTGTGGCCCAGGCCCGCCGTGGCCGGAAGAGCCCCTTCGTTCCTCATCTGGCGTTCCTCCTTGTAGCACCTCGACTGTAGTGCGGCTCTCTTGGCGATGTCTTGCTGATGCCAGGTCGATGCTGCTCCCCCTGTGCCAGACCCCCCCCCATTGTTGCCACTCAGTGGGGGCGGGAGAGTGGGGAAGAGCGGGGAAGAGGAGGCGCCCCGCTTCCTCCTCTCCCCGCAGTCCAGCGTGGGCGACGCGAAGAGAAGCGCGGTTCGTGCCCCTCCCTCGCCGCGCGCAGCGTTTTTGCGATTGCCAATGTCAGGGGCATCACCGTCCATTTCGGTCCAATCGATTCCATCCGGTTCGATGCCAATCCATTCTTGCCGGCCTCATCCGGTTCGATTCCGATATCTCGACGATCCGATTCGGCCCGACGCCCGAGTGGCTTGGACGGGGCTAGGATGAGGATAGATCCGTTCCAGAGCGTCCCTGAACGCCCTCAGAGCGTTCGGAACGACGCTCTGAGAGGGCCGCGGCGCCAGAGACGTCCTCCTGAGCCGCGGGCTTTCAGAGATTCCTGATTTATGTCCTCACCCAATGTTATCCTTCTCCTCCTCCTTGACGGCACTCGCGTGTTCTCTGAGTGGCAACAGCACCGCCTCTTCCAGGCGCAGTCGAAGGATTGTGAGCCTGCCCCTGCCACTCTATCGCGAGTTGTTTTCCCGTAGCCTGTAGCAGGACACGGCCTCTGTGCCGATCGGGAGTACCGTACCGTACCTCCTCCTCCTCCTGGCCTCGCCTTACGATGCCCAGGTGGCGCTCCCGTGCCGATGCCGTGGGATCCCTCGGCAGCTCCCGCACGTCCCGAGGAGGGCTCGCCGTCGCTGCCGCCGCGCCTGCTTTCCCGCTCGGGGCAGGGTGGCCGCCTGCCCAGCGGCTGGCAGCCTGTCGGTCCTGGGCACGGCACGCAACGAGCTCGTGCCTGCCCCGCGGCGGCAGCGAGCGCGCGGCGCGGCGGCCCGGGGCAGCGGGCGGGGTCGCTGCGGTGCGAACTCACATACGTGTTCTGTGGCAGCGCGGCGGCGGCAGTCCGCGCGCGCGGGCGGGCACGCCGGGCGACGGCACTGCGATTGGTCCGGGTAGGAGGGCGGGGAGGAGAGGAGCGGCCGCGGGGGGAGAGGAGGGGGAAGCAGTGCGCTCCCGCCAGCGGGGACCGCGGCGAGACGCCCGCGGCGGCCAGGCCGGTGCTGTACCTCGCCACCCCACCCACCAATCCACCCCAACCCAACCCGAAGGCCCAAATTTATCTTCGATTTCCAGTGGGGGGGGGGTCGGGGAACATTGAAAAATCGCATGGAATCCGTACCCCCCCCCCCCAACCCAAAAATCGGGTCAAATTCGGGTCTTCGGGTTGGGCTGGGGTGGTCTGGTAGATAGTCAGTACCCCTGGCAGCGGACACGGGGCGGCGTCGCGACGGGGCCAACCCACACGGGCGAGAGGGGAGCGAGCGGAGGACGGCGGCCGCGGAGAAGGGTCAGTGTCGTTTCGCCGATCTCTATCCCCCAAGAGCCCATGCCCGTCCCGAGCCCCGCCAGCCCACCACCGCAGTCGGGTGTGTGCCCCCCGAGACCCGCAGGGAACAGCCCATTCTCCCATCTAGGGACAGCCCATATCCCCATCTAGGGGCGTAGTAAATCGGCCAATGGGGCCAAGACGACGCCAGTGGGGATAGGGATCGGTTGAGCGATTCAGGTGGGCCGATTTTCCATCACCACCGTAACAGGTATGAGATGGATGCTGCTGCTGCTGATGACGATGCTGATGACGATCATGATAGTGATGCTGATGCTGATGCCGATGCTGACGACGATGATGATGATGGTGATGATGATGGTGGTGATGGTGGTGGTGGTGACGATGATGATGGTGGAGGTGGTGGTGGTGATGGTGATGATGATGCTGCTGCTGATGATGATGAGGATGATTGTAACGGTGATGGTGATGGTGATGTTGGTAATGACGGTGATGCTGCTGATGATGATGATGGTGATGATGATGCTGGTGGTGGTGGTGATGATGATGACGTGGAGGAGGACCACCAGTGCGAACCCAAACCTCATCGAAGACGTTGATATACCCTCCTTCAAAAATCCCTTTCATAGACTCCTACAAGAAGTCATATCCACTGGGAATTTGCCCTTGGGGGGGCAGCCGTGTAAACTTTTTGAAGCGTACCCAAACACCTTCTCGGGACTTACACGCCACGAGTTAACCTCACTGTTACTTCTCGGCGATCCGGAATCGTTCCAGAAGGCCATTCCTGGGATATCGACACCGCGAGTCAACGTAACTCTTGCGCCCTGGCAATCCTGACACGTTCCCAACACACAACTTCTGGTACGTTGACCATGAGAACCAGTGATACTCTTGCAACTGCTGAAAGCGAATGTGCGCGGAGCTAAGGCGATAGCCACCTTGTCGAACAGGAACCGCCCTCAATCCGTGAAGCTCTTGCACTAGTTAGAAATAATGTGCGCGGCGCTCAGGCGAGAGTCATCTTTTGAAAACGACCCGTCCTCAACCTGTGAAATTCTTTCAACGTTTCGAAACGAATGTGCGCGTCGCTACGGCGAAAGCCACATCTTACCAACCACCCGCCCTCAATCCGTGAACCTATTGCACATCTTTAAAATTAACGTGCGCGGCGCGAAGGCGAACACAACATTTCGAAAATCGCCTGCACTCTATCTGTCAAGCTGTCATCAACGTTTAAGCATCAGGGTCATAAGTGGTGAGGAAGTCTCAGGCGAAACGCCCGGCCGGCCCTTTCGATCCGCCTCGGGGTGCTACAGGGAGGAGTGTCCAGAAGGAAAATGATTGGAGGAGGAGGAGGAGGCAGAAGAGGAGGATGAGCATGAGGCGGAGGAGGAGGAGGAGGAGGAGGAGGAGGAGGAGGAGGAGGAGGAAGAGGCGGAGGCGGAGGAGGAGGAGGAAGAGGAGGAGAATTGGACGCCTGAGTGATGGCGAGCTGTAGGCAGCGTCGCCGCCGCAGGACGGCCCTGGCGGCTGCCCGCCCGCGCCGCGGCCCCTCGGCGGCGGCGGCGGCGCGGCGGGCGACCTCGAGGCGGGCACCGCGCCGCGCGTCGGGCGGCCGGCGGCCGCGGCGTGTGGCTGCGGCGGGCATCCCCTGGCCAACGTCGCCGATGCTGCGGCGATTTACTGGCCATGCATCGGCGATGCGGCGCCAGCCTTCGACCCCACCTAGTCGGACCTCATGCAGGAGGCCTCCAAGTTTTCGTCATGACCGAAGATCATGTTTCGAAGAAGAAGAACCACGTAAACCAAAACTTTGGCGCTCCGCGCGGGTTTCTCGGATCCGCGCTGGACCCCTCTGGCGGCGCCTCCCGTGCCGCCCCTGGCAGCTCCGCGCGCCAGGGAGGGGGTTCCAGGGCCGATCCGAGAGATCCGCGCGGACCCCCGCGTTTTTGTGTTTATGTCATTCTTCGTTCCCCTCAACTTGGCACCGCTTGAACGTGTGTATTCTTGTTTCTCCAGACCTACTCGGAGCCCGTGTAGATGGGCTCGGAGGATCGCGCTGCATCGTCGATCCATCGGCCATGCATCAGCGATGCTGCTCGATGCGGGCTCAATTTTCTCCACGCCGACGTGGCCGATGCATCGCCGACGTCGCCAGTGCATGGCCGATGCATCGGCGATAGATCGGCGATGCTTCGCCGATATATCAGCGATGCGGCGAGATACTCCGACTCCATCTGCTCGGACTCCATCTCGGAGGCCCTTTATTTATGGTGGGGGCCCATCGAGGAGCATCAAGGATCACCTTGCGGAGAAGTTGCGCACGCCATCGAAACACGCACAGGGCATGGACGCCCGAGGGATGGCAAGACGCTGCGTTAGCATACACTGTCGGTGCTCCGCGCGGATTTCTTGGAGTCGGCGCTGGACCGTTCCGGGCGACGCCTCGGGCGCCGCCCCTGGCGCGCTCCGCGCGCCAGGGAGAGGGTCCAGCGCAGCTCTGAGAAATCCGCGTGGACTTCCAACAATTGATGCTTGTGCAGCGCTTCTTCTAGCCTCTGACGCCAGCCTCTGAGAGCGCGTAACGGCGGCCTTCGGTGGCCGCCGCGCCCGTCATGCTGGCGCGCAAAGGGCATCCCTGGGCGCGTATGGCGAGGCACTGCCCGATGGCGTGCCTTGGACACGAACTGCGCGACGGGGCGCACCTGCAGCGGCGCCACCGGGACGTGTGGCGTCCCTTGTGTTGGCGCCTCGCGAGCCGAAGGCCGGGTGCCGACTCGCTCACGACGACCGCCCGATGGCACACGAACTGCGCGACGGGGCGCACCTGCAGCGGCGCCACCGGGACGTGTGGCGTCCCTTGTGTTGGCGCCTCGCGAGCCGAAGGCCGGGTGCCGACTCGCTCACGACGACCGACACCGCCGATATGAAACCTCCCAGATGTCATGAGCCCACCTGCTGTTGTCATCCCATCCCCTGGCCCCCCGTTCTCGGCGGCGGGCCCTGGTGGGAAGCGAGAAGGAGCGGGCCGCCGCAGAGGGCTCGGGAGCCCCCCGGCCGTCTGAGCAGCAGTTCGAAGCCCCTCGGAAGGCAGCGACAACTTTTCAGGCGGCCCGAGGGCTTTTGAGCAGCCCCGCCGCCTTCTGCGAAGGGCCTCGGGCCGATGGACTGTCCGAGGGAAGGCCCCAGGCTCTGCCTGGGGACTGAGTCGGGCCTGTCCCTCTACAGGAGGAGTTGTCAAAAAAACAGCCGCAAGATAGTCAGGGATTTTTTGTTGATATATGTATATGTATATGTATATATATATATATATATATATATATATATATATATCCGTAAGGGCTTCGCCCCCTGCCGCCGGCCCCCTCTCTCGGAGAATGGGCCATGGAAGAGCTAAGTCATGAGGCCTTGGCGCTGTCGTGAAGCAGTATCGAAACTTCATGCGAAGCCGATTCGCAATCAGCAAAACCAACTGATCACAAGAGGGGTTACCACACCTGGCGATTGGTAAGACGTGTATGGTTTACGGGCTTGGTTACCACACCTTGCGATTAAAGGACCGAGGGAGTTCTCGCAATTTGGGTTACCACGCCTTGCGATGGATGTGCGTGAAGGGTGGCACCGAATTTCAGGAATGTGGCAAATCCCCTGTGTTTTTGGACCCTGACCCCGCGGATCTGCATGAGGGGTGGCACCGAATTTCAGACATGTGGCAAATTCCTGTGTTTTTGGACCCTGACCCCGCCGATCTGTGTGAGGGGTGTCGATTTCGACCCCCCCCAGCAATTCAGACAACGCGCCCAGGAGGTGCTAAATATCTCGTTTGGGCCTCCCCCCCCTCGCGCGATCAATCAACTAGTTACAGTAACCAGCAAGAAGCAGAACTGTAACACTGGAAACTACAAGCTACAACTGGTACAGGAAACTGCGAACCTCGCGCCTACAGCCTGGTGGCCCCACAAGGGGGCCGGCGGATATATATATATATATATATATATATATATATAAACAAAACAATTATCTAATAAAACCATGTTTGAGCATCTTTGGCGTTTGCTCTGAGTATTTTCAATGTTTCGCCCAGTAGGGGGACAGGCCCGACCTGAGCCTCGGGGGCTGTTCGAGGGAGAGCCCCAGGCTCTACCAGGACCGCCTCCCGACGGACCCGCGCCCTTGCTGCCAGTCGTCCCAGCGGCGGCTGGCCCGTGCGCGCCAGCGGCGTGCCGAGGAGGCGGCGGCGGCGGCGTCGGTGCCTGCGGCGGCTGCCACGTCGACGACGCCTGTGGCAGCGACGGCTGGGAGGAGGGGGAGGAGGAGGAGGAGGAGGAGGAGGAGGAGGAGGAGGAGGAGGAGGATGTGGAGGATGAGAAGCAGGAGGAGGAGGAGAAGGAACGAGGCGGCACCGGCCGCATTTCGGGGGGGCACCTCCCCCGATCCATGAATTTGGCGACCGCGCGCAGAGTCCATGGATCGCTAATCCATGTTTGCGCGCCCCCGAATGGAACGTTCGGATGGAGCTCCGCTCGGAGGTCAGATTCTGACTTACTCCTGGTCCGGAGTCCCGCCGTAGTCCGGCTTGGTCTGGCCTGGTCCCGCTGAATCCGGCTCAATCCCGCCGAATCCGCGGCCTAATCTGGCGCAGCAGCCCCCCTATGGGGCATTAGCTCTCCCTGAATCTTTTCGACAACCACCTCACAGTAGTTGCCTCCTAGTGAACGGTCCGCGCGTTATCGCCGTGACTCGTGGGCCTCCCAGACGCAGGGCTGATTTCGATTCCACCAGATCGATTCGAGTCGATTTCGGTGACTTCCGATTCCGATCCGATGCGATTTCGGATTCCGATCTGGGCTCCGATGTCTCATATGAGGCCTACTACCCTGCCCACGTCCGCCGATTGGACTTTTCCCGACCCAGCTGCCGGTTTCCACCGATCCGATTCATGTCGATCGCCGATCCGACTTATCGATTCGTTGGCCTCTCAGATTCGGCAGCGAGCCCAGGGGGAAATGAGAAAGAGAAGGCCTTCTCAGCAGGCTCGGAAGCCCCATGGCCTTCAGATAAGTTGTTCCTAAGCCCTCCCAGAAGACACGGACGACTTTGTGGAATGCGGGAGGGCTTCCGAGAAGCCCCGCCGCCTTCTGAGAACGCCTTCTGCCTCTCATTTCCCCCCTCGCTCGCCGCCGACTGGTGGCCTGGCCGACATGGAGTGATCCGCGCGTTATCGCCGTGACTCACGAGCCTCTCCGAGGGGTCCGCGTTGGCAGGTGGGGTCGGGGAGGCCGCGCCGCATCGTCCGAGACATCGGCCACGCGGCTCGATGCGGAGCCCGATGTTCTCCACGCCGAGGGCGCCAGTGCATCGCCAGCGTCGCCGATGCTGCGGCGATTCACTGGCGATGCATCGGTGATGCGACGCCAGCCTTCGACCCCACCTAGTCGGCCCTCATGTAGGAGGCCTCCAACTGTTCGTCATGACCGAAGGGCCTGTTTCGAAGAAGGATAATCACATAAACATACACTTTTGGCGCTCAGCGCGGATTTCTTGGATCCGCGCCTGGGCCCCCCGGCGGCGCCGGAGGCGCCGCCCCTGGCGCGCTCCGCGCGCCAGGGAGGGGGGTCCAGTGCGAATCCAAGAAATTCGCGCGGAGCGCCAACAGTTTATGTTTATGTGTTTTCTTCCTCTAGAAGAGCATGCTTCCGTTCTCATCTGGCGCGTCACGGCCCCCCCTCTTCCTTGGGTGACGGTAGCGATCGTACCTGGGTAGGCTGGGACCCCCCCCCGCACATGCGTGTGCTCGTGCGCACGCGTGCTGCGGCGATCGTAGCGCACCCTCGCTCCGATGTGCCCAAACCCCGCCCCAGCGGTCCTGTTTTTTGGGGGGCCACATGCGAACCCGACCCCTACAGTAGGGGCGCGTGCCAAGAAACCAGTTGGATTTTGCCAGGGTGCCCTGGGTTTCTTGGACTTCGGAGGGTCCCCAATACGATCTGGATGATTTTCGATCGATAAATTTGGATTTTCATTGAACAAATCGCGGATTTCAGGGTTGGGTTTCTTGCGGAGGTTTCTTGTGGCCGAGCCCCCACTGTACCCCCCACGATTTCTGAGGGGGAGGGTGGGGTTCACCTCGCTCGTGAGCGCCCGAACGCAGCGAACCCCGCCCTCCTTCCTTCAAAATCGTGGGGGTAGGGGCAGGGTTCGCATGTGGCCCCCATAGATCTCATGGGGGTATTCGAGGAGAACGGGCATCAGACCCCAGAGGTGTCCACGGGACCAGCTCTTCATCCCGATTCGCTCTTGGACGGTCCTCCGGCAGGTAGACCGCCCTGTGGGTCCGAAACGAGCGAAACAATTCCATGGCCGCTTTACCTCAGGACTTGTTTCCTTCATGCTAGAAAGTTCGGAAAGCCGCGACCGTTCCAGGTTAAACGATCCACAAGGCTTCAGGATCCAACACCGACCTCGTCACGACACGTGCCGTACAGTGGGGATGCGCCTCAAGAAACCATATGCGTTTTTTCATGGCGTGTCGGCCCACACGCTTGCAAGTTTTAAGGCGCGTCGTCGATGTCAACCAGGTTCCAGGCAAGTCCCTTCTGACTTCAGGTTGCGATGAGAAGCCTGAGGGACGGGCGTAATAGTTTTAGTGGAGTGTTACGTGCGACACGGGTTGGCTCGCTCCTACATGCTAGTGTCCAGGCTGCCTCTCGCGTTCTGCGAGCGCTAGGGATCCTTGGCAGCAACTTTGCACTGTATACATTGCGCATGTGCACTCGCGAGTGACGCTGTTGCGGCAACAATATCGCTAACGCGTCGAGCCGCACTAGAGGCGATGCTGCCAGGAGCACAAGCTTGGACGTCGTCTCTGAGTGTACAGCGTTCCCTTGGTGTGTCACTTTTCACGACCAGGCTCTTGGCAGATCACGGCAGCTAGCTGTTCTGGCGCGTCCCCCCCCCAAACAAAACACCAGATGCGCTACGTCAGGATACCCTGGGCCCGGGCCTGGGCTTCTTCGCTCCGCGCGCTACTTGGTGACTCCCAGCGGCCGTGGAAGGAGCTGCTGCGTTCAGGTTGCTCTGGCTTCTCATCAGGTGCACCGCCGCGCGCGGGTTTTCAACGTTGGGTTTCTTGCGACTGCGCCCGCACTGTATCTTATAGACGCGCGAAGCTGTCAGTAAGTTGTATCTCTTCAGTTAGTGAGATTATTCTGTCCCCTCAGCCGTTGCCGCCTGGGTTGTGGCTGACAAGTTCGTGCGCTCTCGTGGACGGCACTCCAGCGATGTCAGTCGTCTTCGTAGACACCCAAAACAGCCAATCCAGACCAGTCACCACGCTTCTGCAATCACCACGCCCGAGATTTCCCTCTGTTCCCCCTTGAGCTTGATGCCCGGTCTGTGCCGACCAGTTAGCGCGCTCTGCTGCTCCTGCTCTCTGGCGCGCCTGGGAGGGTTGGTGAGGACCAGTGTGTGTGTGTGGGTGGGAGAAGATCCTGAGATCCGACGTTGCAAAACATGCAACATCGCAACAGATCACGCCCAGAGCCCCGGGCCCCGTCCTTCTGCGCCATCTCGCAAGCCGCCTCGATCCGTGAGGGTCCCAGGCCCCGGGGCCCGGAATTGAGCGACGGCGCCCGCTGTGAAGAAACTGCAGCGCCAGGATCTCAGGGGACGTCATGGCCGGGGCCGTGGCCTCTCCCACATTCAAGCAGCGGCGAAGCGTCCTGGCTCGCCTGTAGCCCTGACAACCAATGTTCTAATAACCTTTTTGTGGCTCCCACGAAATGCTCTCAGAACAGTTCTGGCTGGGACTGGCTCGTTGTATCACACCGGGCTGCTGTTCTGAGACCATGGTTCCTGCTCTTATCGAACATTTTGGGGCTCTGAGAGCATGTCGTGGTAGGGCTGTAGGAATGCCGGGGCGGCCGGTCCCCGCTCGCCCACCTGCCGTGGCCCCCCTCCGGGAGTCCCGAGCCCGCCCCGCCCGAGGCCCCGCCCGCGCCCTTCGGGGGAGGGGCCCCGACGGGAGCCTCTGCGCCCGTGCCGCCCCGTCTGTGTGCAGCCAGCCCGCAGGGGATCTGGGGAAGGGTGGGCGAGCGAGGGCTCCCAGGAGGGCGCGAAGTGGTTCGCGCCTCGCGCTCCGCGGTCCTCGTTCCTTCTCCCCCTCCTCCTCGTCCTCCTGCCCTCCCTCTGGGGGGGCGGCGCGAGAGCGCGAAGTCGTTCGCACTTCGCGCTTCGCGCAGCGCGAAGCGCGAAGTTGGGAGCCCCAGATAGGAAGGATGGGCAATCTTCCCAACCCAGACATGACCGCGTCGTGAAAAAGTCAAGACGGCCGGTTTTCGGCCGTTCTCGGCCTCGGCAGGCCTTCGCTGGGCCTCGGGGCCGTCAACAAGACTATTCGGGATGGGAAACCGCTCACGGGGAGAGGGTCGGGACCTCCAGGGGCCCTGCATTGAAAAGATGAGGACGTCGCAGGTCTGGGACGGGTACCCTGGCATCCTCGCCCCTTCGGCCCGTCCTCAGCGACGTTCGCTTTGCCAGTCTCGTGCGACAATTGCCAGCGCGGCCCTCCGAGACCCTCGCATCCTTACCGCGCAGCCCAGTGGTGCGGGTGGACCGTGCCCGCTGGTGTAGGCGCCGCCGCCTGCCAACCCCTCTTGGCCGGCGGCGGCTCCCCGGCGACTCGGGTGTGCTCACACGGGCCCCATGCCTGCGCGGAGGGCGTCGGGCGGGTGCTGATGGGGCGGTGGCCTCCGTTGGGGAGTGAAAACGAGGGCCGTGGCCTCCGTTGGGGGAGTGAAGGCGAGGGCCGTGGAGGGACACCGTAAATGGCTCCTTTTTGAGGCGAGCGGGGGCAGAAGGGGGGCCCTCCAGGGCTTCTTTGCTTCGCCCCCCATGTAGGTCACCTCCCATGTCCACCCGTCCAGGGTGAGGGGGGAGGGGGGGCGCTGGAGGAGGAGGAGGAGGGGCGGCCAGGGAGGGGGAGGAGGAGGAGGAGGAGGAGGAGGAGAGGAGGAGGAGGAGGAGGAGGAGGAGGAGGAGGGGGGGGGGGGGGGAGGAGGAGAAAGAGGAGGAATAGGAGGAGGAGGAGGAGGAGGAGGAGGAGAGGAGGAGGAGGAGGAGGAGGAGGGAGGAGGGAGGAGGCCAGGGAGGGGTGAAAGAGTGAAGGGAGGAGGCCCGCCCGTGCCACCCCTCTCCCCCCTGCGGATGACCCCCCGGGATGTCCCCTGGGCCCTCTCCTCCTCCTGCTCCTCCTCCTCCTCCTCCTCCTCCTCCTCCTCCCTCACCTCCTCTCCTCCTCTCCTCCGCCTCCTCCTCCTCCTCCTCCTCCTCCTCCTCCTCCTCCTCCTCCTCCTCCTCCTCCTCCTCCTCCTCCTCCTCCTCCCCCCGGGGTGTCCCCTCGGGACCAAAGTTCAGACTTCCAGGGGCTCACGCAGCGGACATGCTCCAGGACTCCCGGACAGTCAACAAATGAGCCGGGGTGAAGAGCCGGCCTGGGGCAAACACACACCTTGACCGCTTCGTGAGCCTCGGGACGAGGGTCAGGTCAATGCAAGCGGGGGGTCAACCAGAACGCCGGATGTTGCAGGATAGCCTGCAGAGCCAGGGTGGCACGGACCGGGGCTTGCGCGCAGGTCTGTGCGTCCCCGACCGCCGCGGGTCATGTGGAGGTCCGGGCACTGCCAGCTGTAAGCCGGACCTGTCCCCCAGCAGGAGGAATCTTTAAGAATAGTCAACACATAGTCTGGGCACGACTTTTAGCATTATGTTTTTGACTATTTTTGAGTGTTGCTTCGTTTTTTGATTATACGGGAAATCATCCAAAATCCGCCTGTAGGGGGACATGCCCGACCCAACGCCAGCCGCCAACCGTCGCCAGGCCGCGGCTGCGGCGGGGGACGACGTGGCGCTGCCGTGGGACGCGCCGCTGCCGCCGCCCGCGCCGCCGAAGCCCCCGCTGCTGCAGAACGGCCTCGCCGAAGGCCGGCCTGGGAGTTCGCCGCCGCCGCCGCCGCTCGCCGTCCTCGCGGCGCCCGCCGCCAGCGTCTTCGCCGTCGCCGTCGTTGCCGTGCCGCGCATCGTCCGCGCCATGCTCGTCGTCGTCGTCGTCGTCGGGGGTCCACGTCTGCCGGGGAGGAGGAGTGGAGGGTCGAGGCTTCTGGAGGCTCAGGAGGCTCATCGGCCTCCTGTGGGCTTCCCTGTCCCCACGCCCAGGTCAGCCTCGAACGTATGCTCGGAGCGCGCGACGGCGACGGCCGCTTCTATCGGCCGTCCCCGTCGCCATCGAGGTTTTCTGGCGTGGCGCCGTCGTCCTGATCGTCGCCCTCGCCCTCGCCGTCGTCGCCGTCGTCGTCCCCAGACTCCTCGCGCGGTGACCAAGTCATGGTGGAAGGCTTTTGCCAGTATTTGGCCTCTGAGGGGCCCTTGTTGGGCCCCACGGGGATGAGAGCTGGGCTCGGGGAAAGGTCCAGGCTTCGGGACTCCGCCTTCTGAAGAAGCCGCAACGTCGGAGGTCTGGGCCGTCGGCGAGGAGTCGCCCGACGCACCGCATGTGGGATGGCGGTGAAGGAATGCACGGGGCGTCCGTCACGCAGCAGCTCTGCGCCACGAATCGGAAGTCGGGTTCTATGTCTACTGGTGGGCGTCGTCGTCGTCACAGAGATTATCGGATCGTCTCCTCCAACGTCTCGCCCAGCGGAAGGAAATGCTCTCTTGATCGTTCTCCTTCGTGTCTTCGCCTCTGGATCAACTTCTGGTCCCGTCGCCCAGTCTGCCCTCTCGACCGCGCTGGGCGTACGCCAGCGTCGTGTCCGAGCAGGCTGCTCTCCTCACTGCCGTCCCGCGTCCCCCGCCCGCGTCCATCGTCGTTCGTCGCCGGCCGTCGGCCACGAGATCGACGGCGACGACGAGCCGCCCGACGCCCCCGCCGACCCGCCGAGGCGGCCTCCCCGAGCGGCAGGAGCAGCCGCCGCCGCAGCGGCGGCCGCTCCAGGCCTGGCCGCCAGCCTCAGGAGAAGAAAATTACCAGTGAATCGTCGCTTCTCCAGAACTTCTGGGAACATGCTAGCACGTGGGGGGGAAGACGAACACCCAGATTGATAGGGGAACATCTGGGGAATCTCTTTCTTTGTGTGCATTTCGTTTCACGACCCCTCCTTTTTCCTCGCTCCAGGACGTGGGCAGCAGGCGGTCGGAGGGGGGAGTCTCTGGAGCGAAAGGCTGGTCAGAGAAGGTGCGCGTCACAGAAGGGGTCGGTTAGGCTTACGTCGGGCATGACCACTCGCAGGAGGAGTATTCAAGTATAGTAAACAATGGTCTGGGGACGATTGTTGGACCATGTTTGTGTATTTGTTAACTCTTCTTTCTTTTTCTCCCGAATCCGCCTCTAGGAGGACATGCCCGCCCGTAAGGTCAGGCCTTGTCCGAGGGAGTATGAGGATGAGGAAGAGGAGGAGGAGGAGGAGGAGGAGGAGGAGGAGGAGGAGGAGGAGGAGGAGGAGTATGATGATGATGAGGAGAATGAGGACCAGTGTAAACCCAAGACGCATCAATGATGTCGCAATACGCCATCACTTCAAGTTCCCTTCTAACAGGTCCCTGAAGGAGTTTATTGTATATTCTCATTGCGGGAAGCGCCCCGCTAGAAGACAACCGCCCGATAATCCTCAATCGTGCCAGCACTCCGAGGCGGGAATTATCCCTCCATCGCCTGGGGGATCGATCGCCGGGGAAATCGGCAGACGTTGGATGTGGCTGTAGTCAGGCCCCCTGGGGTCCAACTATATCCGTACTCCAGATGTCGTAATAAAGGGAGGGTCTGGGGGGTCTCTTCCAGGCTATCTTGGAGGGCCTGGGGGGTCTGGGGACGATGTGTTGGAGGTTTCTCCCACGGGGGGGGGTCTGAAATGGCTTGTCTTGGAGGGTCCAGACCCCCTCCCTTTTATTACGAAATCTGGAGTACCCACCGCCCGCTGAGGTCCCACGACGTCGGTTCCCCAGTGCGGTGGATATGGATCTACCCCCGCCCCGTCATCACACGGGCTCTTGGGCTTCCACGCCGCGGACCACCGTGCGTGCTACAGTTGTCCATCCCCAATCCG